CTTAACTCACACTCTTTGGGTCCTGTTACCGGATCTAACTGACGCCTTTATCCACTGTGCCATGTGTCCTTGGGGACATCTGTCTATGAATTTCTGGTTATTATAAACCTAATGTCTTCAGCAATCATTTTTTAACAGTGCTCATATTGCAATTTTTGTTGTTATTATCGCTTTTCTCTGGCACTCCTTATTACTGGTTCCCATATTGTATTAATTTGCTTGGTCAGCTCAGGAGATTTTTGTGGACTAGCATATGTGCTGATTCCTTAAGTTTATGAATTTTCCGTTGGTGTTCTTTGTCTATCATCTCAACCTGATATGTGGTCAGCCATGCCTGATTTTTCCACTTCCCGTCGTGTTACAGCTTTCTGGTGTTCTTGAAGCCTTACCTTAAGGGGACGGCCTGTCTCCCCTTTATATTTCTTTCCGCAACTGCACGGGATAGTGTACACACAGTCTTTAGTCATGTTCTCCTCTTGTACCTGCCTATCTCAGTTTATTGGGGCTGCTGCCATGTACCCAGGGTAGTTGTTATGTTGTAGGGTACTACTTATACTGACCAATTCTTTATCTAATGTCTACTCGTTGTTATAAGCAGCGGACGATCCCGTTCTTTATGCTGTATGGATAGTGGGAGTTGAAATTGAGGTACTGTCTGGTGAATGTCGTTTTACGGTATACAGATGTCTTAAACCCATGCTCTGTTCAAGAACATCCAGGAATGGGAGTGTGTTGTTACTCTTTCTCCATTGTGAACTGTATCAAAGGTCTTATTGAGTTCACACGGTCCAGTAGAACCTGAACATCTTCCTGGTGTGGCCAGAGTATGAAGGTGTCATCTATGTGCCTTAACCATATAGTTGGCTTTAGAGATATAGATTCTAATAGCATTTCCTCAAAGTATTCCATGTATTCTCCAAGAAATTCTTAATGCAATATTTACTAGCAAAAAAAAAAAAAAAGAATTATTATAATCCAAAATGTTTCAGAATCAAAGAATCCATAAAGGGTTGATAAACCATAAAAAAAAAACCCAGAACAAGTTAATGATCTGGTTTAATCAAGTACCTGATGGACAAAAAGATCTGGTTTACCTATATCAAAGATCAAACGCAAGTTTAATTTTTGGAATTTTCAAGAAACTCATATGCTATTACAAAAAAAAAAAAAACAACAAAAAACTATGGCTCTCATGCTTCATTAGAAACGCTGGAAAATTTGATGATAATAACTTTAGTTATTTTTGAGTTGTGCAGTGACAGAGACAAACGGATATTTGGGGGAATTATACTAAATTCAAGTTCATCAGTACCATTGTAAAATAAAAAAGTACCGTACAATTCTGTGTATAATTAGACCTTTTGATAAGATGAGGTCAAAAATAAAGCAAATTTTCATAAATTTACCCTATACTTGTAGTATAAGATGACTGCTTATTGATTATATAAAGATGATGTTATTGGAAATGTTATTTACTGTATCCTTAGAAATCTAAGATAAACAAAATAAGAAAACCAATTTTATATCGTTTTTCCTATAAACGTCCCCTAAAAGAGAAACAATTGTTTTGTTTCATCACAATCTCTTGCGATTACTTGTTCTTTCTCTTCTTTTCCTTTTATAGCTAAACAGTTACAAACAGCCTGGTGTACTAATGGCCATTTACTTATACTTCATCAACAATCACACACTACCACTAACAATACAATAATAGTACATTTTGCTTTCAATATTTTTTTTTTTTATTCAGTCTGTTCCTAACTTTTGTCTAAGGCAGTTTTTAATAAGAAATGAATGTTATACTAAATGTAATTGCTGCTGTAATTAACACTATCATTATGATTATTGTAAATTTAGCAAAAGATAAAAGGTTGCTGTGAATGCAATCATAATTCGATGTTTATATTTTCTCAGCTGAACTTTCAAGGATGGAAGTTGATTTCATTGATATGGAATTATTCTTCAAATAGGAAATGATTACAAAAATAACATATAAGGTAGAAATGGTTTTATTACTTTTATTATCAGTTGTGAATTTTTTTTATATACATTATTGGTTGTCACATGGCGGCTGAGGTTAGCCTACTGACAAACATCACTCAGAATTTAAGGTTTCTTTTTTAGAATTATTGTTTAAGACAACCCGTCCAATTTTTAAGGGTGACTTTTGGGGGTTTAAAGGTCACTTTATATAGAAATATATAATAAATAAGATGGAAATAGTTAAATAAATTTTATATATATATATATATATATATATAATTTTAAACATCTTTCATTAAATACAGCAGACAAGGAAAATCTAATTAACTTTTTATTTAGTTTTTCCATTGTAGGTGTATGAGAGTACAAAGATTTTTCATTATCCCAAGTGTTTTCAGCCACTTTTTTAGCCATTTTCAAAGGGGGTTTTGTCTTGGGTGTTGTTAGTTTTTCCTTAAGTTATTAAATCATATTTTATTTTTGTGTTGTTTTGAATAGGAGCATTTATTCTGAGCCTTTGTGCATCACTGGAATTTGAGTGAGCATATATATATATATATATATATATATATATATATATATATATATATATATATATAGTATTGGGGCAGTAGATCATTATTTAAACATATAATTAAATATAACAATGTTGGACAATTTTTGTTTTTATTTTCACCTGAAATTAAAGCAACCATACGTTTAGAGCAGGTCATGATCAGACATAACTGACATTCATTGTCTGTCATATATATATATATATATATATATCCAATGTCAGATGGTTTTGACAGTTGCTTATCATAGGTTTGTACAACTTTTCAATAATTTTTGAATTTTGTTTTGAGATAAGTAATTATTATACCGTTGTGACACTATTTAGGGTTGTGAGAAAGAAAAAAAAAAAAAGAAAGAAAAGCCGAGAATTAAATTTAGGTGATAAGAAGCCATCACGAAAAGGACACTAAGCGATGTTATTTTTCTAACAAAGAAAAATGGAAAGATTTTATTTTCATTAGTGAAGAAAGTAAAATTGCACATCTGTTGCATTTGATTTATGACGACACACCGAGTATGGCAATAATGAAAGTTTCAGGTTGGTCGAGTGGCCTACGAAACAGAAACTGAGAGATAAAAATTAATTTAGCATGCACTGACCGAAAAATGAAATGCCCGTTAGACCACCCGCAGAATACCAGGAAGGAAAGATTAAACCATTAGCTATCTACGAAGATGTCGTTTGGAAAAGGCACCTGTTTATTGTCAAGAGCTGGCCATGATAGCAAAATTATTTTATCGGAACAGATAATTAGCTGCAGGGGCCAGATCACCAGATGACCACCCACTTGATGCTGGTGAAAAGTCTCGATTGATAAAGTCCAGGTGATTCGGTTAAGATAAGAGCCTAAGGTTTGTGGTCGGGCAGAAGGAAGGAAAGAAAAGAAAAAGAAAAAAAAGAAAGATAATTTTATTTTTATTTGAGCAAGATTTTTTAAACCAAGGCCAGTCTGGCCACACTCACACTGCTGGGCGGCCATTGGCTGAATGGTGGCGTGAGCGGCAGGCGAAGGTAATCATGTGAAGAAGGAGGGGAGGCCTGTTAATGCCCCCCTGAAGGGATCAGTGTGAGATGCCACTGTGAGAGAGAGGGGAAACCTGTTGACACCCTCTGAGGGTATGGGTGAGATACCAAAATGAGAAAGGAAGAATTGGGGAGGATGAAAGACTTCCAAAAATGGAAATAATAATTCTTCCTGACTGAAAACAAAGAAAAACCTTTAATATGGATTTAGAATTATCAAGGAACCTCAAACCCCGACAAGCCCACCCCGGTTTTGGTCAGCGTCCATATAAGCAGAGTCGCAACGAGTTGCGGCAGTTAAGTTAGGTTAGGTTAGGTTAGGTTCACAGTTGGGGTTGGAGACAGACAGGCAAGCAGTTGCAGTGAGCTGAGAGCTCTGAAGACCCGCCTCACAGAAGCTGACTAAGATTCGCGCATTATCGACCTCAACTTCTAACCAAGAACAATTTATTTGAGAAGAACAACTTAGACTCACACCAGCGAAACAAGCTTTACGATTATCACCTGAAGATACACCAAGAACCAGTTTCTTAAAGAACAAACAACTTAAGATGTTAAGACTCGCTTAACAAACACAAAGTGTCACGAATCCATATAGCAGGTTAGGAAGAAGATACAGTCCTGTATTCAACAACCAGATATAAAATATTGTTATCAGTTTTTAACACATTTGAACTTTGAGTTATTACTTTATTTTCTTTTACATATACTTGTGCGATATCACCCTTGCTCGGACTCGACTTGCATTACAGCCCGGCGACTGATTGATTTTGTCTACCCGAGATCAAATCACAACGTGGGTAGGTTAGACTAGAAATCAAAACAGTTACTTCGGTAACCAGACGTTAGAGGCGAGCTGGGAATGACAGGGCTGATACCGAATCTAACCAGATTCCCATCCGAATTAGCAAAAGGTTAGAACGTCACACCGTAATTATTTGAAACTATTGATTGTTCTCATCTTGCTTGTTAAAGATGTTATGATAGATACATCTTGGCCAAATATGCAGTAAATAGTACACCAGGCTTTTTATTAAATAGTGCACAGCATGCTCCAGCTTTGAAGAGGTCATGCTCTGAACTATGCATTTAATATCTAATGTGTTACTATGATTTAGTTTTTACATACCAAGTCCATGCCTGTGATACCAGCAATCAGCTTTAGTGGAGTTAGTAAAAACACTTCCAAATTTTGAAATAAACAATATTTTAATGATTCCAAATTTAAATTTATTTACAATCACATTGTGAAAAATTAGTTGAGATAGAATTTTCAAAGAATACAATGAAGACTAACATTTAATGCAATATTTAATAGAAAAAGGTCAAAAAGTTGAACCGTCTGAGTGGCAATGGAGGCAGGGGATTAATTTGTGCTGCAGGAAGGTGGTGTAGCGAGAACAATGGTAAAAGAAGCAGTACCAAGGGAATTTAGGGATTAGGGTGTGAGTTTCCATCTGCCATTCAAAATGTCTGTAGATCTGTCCGTCAAGCTGGTCAGCCACTGGTTGTCGTCATGTGAAGATCTAGGTAAATTAAAAAAGTTATTTTTTTTTTTATTATTTCTTATTCTTGACCAACTTTCTCTTTTGACAAGAGAATGAAAGGAAGAAGAAAAAATGTGGAGGTAAAAAAAAATAATGTGTTTATCATGGAAAGGTTTCTATTTTCAAAAACTGATTCTTAAAAAGAAGATGCACTGCTGGGGAGGAATTTGAGTCCCATGTAAAAGGACGTAAGTTTAAGGTACTCAAAATTCCCCCCCAATAAGTGCATTCAGCACCTACTTAAATAGAATGGTCCATTTGTAGCTTAAGTAGATCTTCCTCAAATCACATTTATGAGACTAAAAAAAAAAAAAAAAAATACTGATTTTTTTCTTATTGATTTAGAAGTGTGTGTGTGTTTTCTCTTCATAATATAAATACAGTCACAAATCGATCCCTAACTTTTTACAGAGTTATCTGGACTTAATTATTTACAAATGTCAAGTTATAAACCATGCTTATGTCATTGATATATGCATACATTTTTTTTAATTTTCTGAATTTTTTAAACTTTTTTTGGGGAGTGGGGAGTATTTTGTCAAGCACAAACGTTGGGTGTGGGGGAGGTGATATTAATTATTTCTTTTAAATAAAGAATAAACTAATATATCATTTTTTCCCTTAAATAAAAAATGTTTGTTCTTTTTGTTTGCTTTGCTGTTAAAAAAAAAAAAAAAAAAAGCTAAGTCCAGATAATTCTGTAAAAAAAAAAAAAAAAAAAAAAGGTCAGGTGTTATTTTTTACCCTGGACTGATATTATGAACAAGATTTCCCTTCTAAATTGAATAATAATAATAAGATTTTTTATTTATTTTGACAAATGTTGTGCCTACAGGAAGATCAAAGGAATCTATAAAAATTATTCCCTGAAAAATTTTTCCCTACGTTTTTTTAATATATGGACCAGTCTATTTAAGTAGTATCCCCATCACATACAAAAAAAAAAAAATTAGATAATCAAAAGATTATTAAGACAAGCATTACCAAAAACATTACTGCACAGCTCAAATTATACCAGATTTCCAAACACAACCTAGAAAATTTGCAAGTGTTATTTGAAGCGTTTCATAGAAGTTAATGTAAATTGTCCAGAGTCAACATCTTCACTAAGTAGATTTGTGAGTTGATACTGATATGACACTATTGGAAAGGTGCTAGTAAATTGAAAATCATTAACTTCCAATAGACTGATAATATACAGATGACCAGATGAAGGAAAATGAAAGAAAAAGAAAAAATGTCTATTGAAAAAAAAAAAAAAAAAAAAAAAAACAGAAGAAAGTAATTAAATTTCTTGTCCACTGGAGACGTAAAACAAAGAGACCATCTGGTTTCAATTAAGAACTGAGACTATGTGACAAACTATTTTGGAGGACCAAAAACATCCCAGAAAGAAACAGATAATATTTTTACAACCATTGTGAACAAAAGGGAAAGACAAACCCCTGGCTGTGAGTTTGGCCGATAGAAGAGTATTGGCTTTTAGAAGCAGACAAGTTTCCAGCAGAATATAGATAAAAGAATGACAATTAAAATTTTTGTGGGTCAAAACATGATAAAACTTCCCAAAATAAAGAGATAGTTCCCTTTTTACCACTTTTGGCCATTGAACTAGATCCTGCCTAGCCCTTAGGGGATGGGTTTGATCAGGTGACCAAGGAGGAGAGAGCCCAAGTGGAATTGCAGGGAAGGCGGAGGACTGTTCACACCCCTTGGGCAGTGATGGTGAGAGGCACTCACACAAAGCAGGAAGGAGAGTGGTTTGATCCGGTGATCAAAAGAAGAAGAAGGCCCAAGTAGAATTCCAAGGAGGGAGGATGGACTCTCCCATATTTGGTTGGTTGTTGGGGAGCATTGGCATACCCAGAGCACATCATGCCCCACTGCAGCCCTTGTGCATGGGTCCATAAAAATAGAACATTATATATGAGAGAGAGAGAGAGAGAGAGAGAGAGAGAGAGAGAGAGAGAGAGAGAGACTGCAGACAGACTACAGCAGAGAGACCACTGCTTCACCTGATCTCATGTAACTTGCCACCCTGAAAAAAAGCCTTCGATAAAGCCTTGTTCCAAAAGTCCCATTCCAAAGAATTCTAACAACAGTGTCACAACAATCAGGAAGGGTGGAGAGTTATTGCAGGGAGAATATAGTCTTGATTAAACTATCAATAATTGTACCATCAACTTTGTATTAAGTAACTGTATATATTATTTTTCTTCTAGCCAATTTATTTATTTATTTTTTTTTTGTAACTTTACTCTAACCAAACCAAGTCATAGATTCCAGTTGACCATTTGGACCAAGTCAGTTTTGTAATCAATTAATTGCAATGTGGGGTGAGACAAGACTTGAACCAAAATGATCAATTCTACGATCAGCCGAGGGGTTCAAACTTGAATACAGAGTTCTGAAGTAGATGTCATACTGACTCAGCAAAGAAATCAAAATGGTTTAAATCTGATGATCTAATTAACTATGGTCTGATATTTCCTCATGTAATTCCTCAATTGTTTTTTCAGGTCATCAGGGACATTTGTGACAAGATTGCCATTTTGTTGAAACATGACACCACTAATTAGTTTTTCTACAACCAAGTAAGTTTCAAAATAATATTACCATTTGACAAGAAAAATCAAAACCATAACAGTAGTGTCGGCAAAGAAAAACATGTGTATAAAATCCTAGATTCTGTTAAACCTATCCAAATAAAGGTAGTCCCTTTTTTTGTTGGACAATTACAAAAAGGTCTACAAATCTTAGCTTCTGTTAAACCTGTTCACTTAAATTCCTTTTCCAATGAAGACCAATTAAACAAATGTCTGTAAATCTTCTTTGAAACTTTCAAACCTTAGGTCATTCCTTTTCTTAATGTAAGTCAAAGAATAAATGTATATAAATCTTAGATTCAAACCATAGGCAATTCCTTTTCTTAATATTCAAATTTTAAGAATAAATCTTAGATTATGTCAAATCTTGCCAGATACTCACCTTAAGCAAGTCTATTTCTTAATGTTAGACAAAAAAAAAAAGTTTATAATTTACATTTTCACATGTGAAATATATTTTTTCTTATATTCTCTAACCCACAGTAACCCTTTGTATCTTAGTGGTTTTATTGCCTTGCTTGGGGTTACATGATAAAATAAAAAACAGTACATTGCAAATTCACCAAGTTGTGTTTTGAAATGCAGCTAAACAATTTGAACTCTACAGAGATACTGAAGGATATTATGTTGAAATCAGTTTTTGAATCATTGATTCTATAAATCTTAATATTTGTGAAAAGCTTTCATTCAAATCCAGAGGAGCTTTGTGTCTTGAAAATTCACTAATTATATTAAAACATTCAGCAATTTACTTTGCAATAATTTTTAAAATATTTATTAATCTTTTAATATTAAATAATTAAAATATGCTGGTGAAAATTTCAATTTTTTTTTAATAGTGTCCATAAAGAGCGTTTTTTAATAAAACGCTGAATATATGTATGGGTGTGTGAAAAAATTCAGATATAAATAAAAGTATATCTGTAAAAAGACAATATGAATAAAGATAAAAAGGAAAGCTTTTCTTTACCAACGTGTTTCGTCATTTGTTGGACATTATCTTGTCTTTAGCTGTAGGAATATTTTTGAATGTTCTTAAGTTGAAAAATTTAGAAAGCCTAATGATATGTTTACTTCTGTTTATAAATACATGTAAAATAAAATGATAAAGTCCAACAAAAAAGGAAATACATTAGTAAAGAAAAGTTTCCCGTTGTCTTTATTATATATATATATATATATATCACACATTGGCTGGTGGTGTTAAAATAGTGCTTGATGTAATATAACAGAGCTATTAAGTATATACTAATAAATTTTCCTTACTGGTAGCATGACGTAGAGTTTCATGCACAATGTAATATTCAGATGCTTAGTAGAGACTGAGATAGATAGAGATCTCTCTCTCTCTCTATATATATATATATATATATATATATATATATATATATATATATATATATATATATGTGTGTGTGTGTGTGTTTATTTTTATAGATACAAATATTTAAGTAAATGCTCTGTTTATAATAAACAACATTTACCAGCCTGAATGTCCGAGAAATCTCAAAGAAAATATGTATCCTCTGACAGGAATCGAACCGGTATCCTATAATGTTTAATATAAACACAGCATTTACTTAAATATTTGTATGTATAAAAATAACGTACAAACAAAAATATATTAAAACAATTGTCAGACTTAGTCCATTTCATTTTATATATATATATATATATATATATATATATATATATATATATATATATATATATATAAAATAAAATGCAGGTAGGGTGGAGTAATGAAGAGTGGTTCAGATTGGGAGAGCAGAGTTTTCATTCAACTTTATTACCTTCACTTAAATCTACTTGGGAAAGGTATGAATTCATCTCTTCTCCCCACCCCAGACTCGGGGCCTATAGCCTTGGTTGGCAACCAGTCTAAAAGGATAACTCTGAATTACAAACCTTCAACGAGGAGTTAAATAGCCGCACCAACCTGCAACTGGCCAAGCATGGTGAGTATGCCTTACCCCTGAAGGAATGGTTAATTAGTGAGAGGGTTCCTTCGAAGAATGAGAAGGAAGTTTTATTGAATCTTTAATCTTGACAATTCAATAAGTCTTACTGAGCTTTCATTTCATACGTTTTTTTTTTTTTTTTAAAATATTTTCTTCCTGTTGGAACTTATGGACATCTTGGGTGAAAAAATGTCTTGATGTCTACTCAAAATGGATACGAAGTTGAGGAAACCTGAGAATACAAGTGGATGATTTGGAACTTCAAGAAATACTAATTTAAAAATATTACATTATCATCATAGAAAATCAGTCTAATAAGAGGGTGGAGTGATGCTAAGGCTGTGAAATCTTGCATGCATTCATTTCAACTTTTCTTATTAATAACTGAATTGTTTCTTTCTAAGTAAACTGA